ATGTGCTTGGCTCTTTCTGAGTGCTATGCATGTACTACCTGTCTTAATCCTCCCAACACTATAAAACAATAGTGACCATATTTCCCCCCATTTCGGAGAGGAGGGAAATGAGGCTGAGAGAAGTTCATTTGCCAGTGTCATTCAGTGAGAAAGGGGTGGAGCTGGGACTGTAGGGCCGGTGATCTTAATTATCCTTTTCCTCCGTCTCTGTAAAATTGCCAGTGCTTTTGGTACAACTGGGCTGTATCTTAGGGGTTCAAAGAGGTGTCATTTTGCATCAAGGCTGAGAAAGGGCGAAAACAGAGGCGGTGTGGTATGCAGGGAAAGCTAACACCCAGCGTGCGTGTAGGTATTTAGAAAAAGATGAACTGTGAGCCAACCCTGCAGGCCTTTAGTTACAAAGGCATGACGCCAGCGTGAGCAGATATGAGTCAGCAGGTAGGACTGTGTGATGACTGTGTCACTCTACCTGAACTTCTTCAGACCTTTGGCGTGCAATACTGGATTCCACGAGGCTGAGCAAGGAGGAAAGAAAGAAAAGGGTTTAAAGGAGAGCCACAGATGAGCATCTACAGGTCGGAAAAGTACTCCAGCCTATGTAGAGCCCAAAGAGATTGGGGGGAAATACTGTATATGGGGTTCTATATCTATATCTATATCTATATCTATATCTATATCTATATCTATATCTATATCTATATCTATGCCGTGATCAGAATAGATTTTTTTTTTATCCTCACCTGAGAACATTTTTGCATTTTTTGTTCAGATAGAGTGGGAGGGAGGGAGAGAGAGGAAGAGAGAGAGAGAGAGTGAGAAACATCGACGTGAAAGGGACACATCGAGTGGCTGCCACCCACACAACCAACCAGGGCTGGGGACAAACTGCAACCGAGGTACATGCCCTTAGCGGGAACCGAACCCGGGTCTCTCTGGACCGCAGGCCGATGCTCTAACCGCTGAGCCAAACCGGCCAGGGCCAGAATCGATGTTTTAAAGCCAGATTCCCTGGGTTCATATCTCTGCCTCCCCACTTGGTACTTGGGTATTTAAAAAAATATTTTTTTAAATTTATTTTTAAAGAGAAGAAGGGAGAGAAACATTGATCAATTGTCTCCCACACATGCCTCAACCAGGGACTGAACCCCACAATCTGAGCATGCTGGGTATGTGCCCCGACCAGGAATTGAACATGACCACCTTTTGGTGCATGAGATAATGCTCCAACCAACTGAGCCACACTGGCCAGGGCACTGCTTGGGTATTCTTGAGTGTCACTTTATACATTTCTGTGCTTCGGTTTCCCGTTTGTTAAATTGGGATTACTCACAGGGATATTGTGAGGATTAAACCAGCTAATACACGTAAAGCTCTTGGAACAGCTTTAATAAGCACTCAATAAACAGCTAACAAAATATAGAAAAGGGTGAAGGCAACAATATTCAACATATTGAAATATAAAGATCTTTATATAGCTCCTTTCCACCTTCATTGTACAAAAAGAAGAGGAAGTCTATTTAAACTATGAGAGATTGAGAACAGATTAAAAAAATTTTTTACCCATCAAGAAATGCACATAACTACTGGGGATGAATGTTCTCTGTAGAGGGAGGGTGTGAAGCAGATTCTCTTCCTGATCTCTAAAAGCGGGAACACACTGAGACATTAGGTTCGAATCAACAGTACACGGCTGCCTACCAAGAAACAGACTGAAAACTAAAGAAAGCTCAGGTCCTTTTGAGGATCTTACAACAAATAGTAGCCATTAGATATTAAAATAGTATCCAGAGTTTTGCTGTTTCCCTTTTTCAACATAGAAAGCACAGAAGCAATGGGAAGAAATTAGAACACATTTGTAGCAGCTACAAAAAGAACTTGCTTAGGTCAAATTTATCTAGATGGAGCCATGACCAGGACCAATAAAGTTTTAAAACTTTATTATTTCCATTACCTTTAATTTAATTAATCAAAAAATGGTTTAACAATTTAGCATCACATTATATATAGGCCTTTATATACTTGAAGATGTATTCAGTTATCCTTTTAGCGTATCTGCTTATTCTTTGGTCTGACCTCAGCAGACTGCCACCCCCGCCCTGGTTCCTGTTAAAGGGGTGACCTAGGCCAGTATGTTTAATCATGTTTCCCCCCCAGTAATCATCCAGTCTGATTCACCCGGCTGGTGTGGTTGCGTCACACAGGGGAAGTGGCTGAGGTGCAGCAACCGGAAGGAGAGAGGCAGAGGGATTGGCTGCCGAGGGCTCCATCCACAACAGCCTTCATCTGCCTGTATTTTCACGTCTTGGGGTCTGAGACACATATCCCCCTCTTTTCTTTTGCTGATTAAACAAGATTTTTGTTTTTGTTTTTTATCCTCACCTGAGGACATGGACATTTTTGGATTTTTATCTTGAGATAGAGCAGGAGGGAGAGAGGGAGGAAGAGAGAGAAACACTCGACTGGCTGCCACCCACACGACCCCAACCAGGGCCGGGCACAAACCGCAACCGAGGTACGTGCCCTTAGCGGGAACCGAACCCGGGTCTCTCTGTACCGCAGGCCGATGCTCCAACCATTGATCCAAACCGGCCAGGGCCTAAACAGGGTTTTTATTTACAACCAACCAATCCCTGACTAAAGACGTGACCATCTCCACTTCAACCAGCTGAGTCAACACAAAGACAGGCAGACAGAATGCAGTCTGCCACTGCGGTGCTTAGTGTTTTGGGGAGAGAAGATACATGAGCTGAACAGAAAGGTATTTAGTAAACAGCACTTTGAAGTGTCCTCTGTGAAGTAGTCTCTCTGGGACACCACATTCGATGACCCAACCTTGTGAATTGCGGTTCTCAACTATCCTTCTCATCCACCTTCCCTCCACACCATCTCTCATCCGAACTTTATCCTCTTCGGGCAATAGGGGAAGATGTGAGGAAACTTGCTAGCTCTTCTAAGGAAATTCAAATTCCAAATCTCACTGTGGAAAGACCTCAGGGCCTCCCAGTTTTGTCTCTTCCCCTTAGGGACTTTTCACACCCTTGCTTCACCAGAGAAGGGTTTGTTTCTTTGCACCACTGGGATAGACCCCTTTGTCTTAGTATACTCATAGCACCACCGAGTCCAGGGTAAAATAGTTATATAAAGTTTTAGAAAAAGGCTCAGGAATAACAACAAAAAAGCAAATAAAACCCTGTGAAAGATCCAACTTGACTAGGTAGAGTGTGCAATTTATATTCACTCTATGCGATGATCACTGTGTCAACGACACGCCTGCTCACAAGAGGAATAAGGTGGTGGGGTGTGCTAACTGCTGTCATCAGTGATACCGGATGAAGCAGGGCAGAGACAAGGCAGTGAGACCAGTATTGGGGGAAGGGAATTAGGCAGGTTTCAGTGAGGTTGTCTAAAGAAACTGAGGCTTTAAGAAACAAATAATTAGCAGAGCATGAAATTGGGGAAAGGGAGAGGAGCATTCCAGAACCTCCTGGAGCATTCCAGAAGGTTCCAAGCATGTGCAAAAGGGAAGAGTACAGTGTGTAGATTGTGAGAGGTTTCTCCTTGTTTATGCTCAGGTGACAGGCTGTACTTGTGGTGCCATCCAGGAGAGCCCACGAACACACCAGGGCTCCTCTGAACCCAGGCCAAAGAGCTAGGTGTGCAAGCCCACAGGAGTTTCCCCTTCCAGTCAATGGCAGCTTGCTCAGGTTTGGTTTCCCAGACTCAGGACTCCCGTCTTCATTCCAGGAAGCTAATGCCAGTAGAATCGTCATACCGTGAGATTTTCCTTTATGACCTTGATAGGGACAATATGGCCGAAGAGTGCACTATCTTTATGCATTTAGTGAGAAATGCTTCCTTACACTGCCAACATAAAGGCCACTCTCCAAAGATGTAGGATCACAGGGAAACTAGGTTTTGTCTTTAGTTTAAGCACAAACTATGCAAACCCTGTTCTAGTCCTCCTCACAGAATGAAAATCAAGTTTACTTCCGATCTTTCTCTTGAAGATTGGAGGTTTAGAAAATTTCCTTAAATATAGGGAAGTCATTAAAAGGGAAGCAAATTAAGTTTTTAGACATTTATATGACCAGTACTGTACTGTGGTTTTCCCTGGGCCAATGTTGTCACAACGTGACTAATTTCTAGACATGCTAGTGCCTGTTCTCAAGCTAATGACTTATTAAATTTTCCCTTGCAAAAAGATTATAATAACATAAACAGAAAATAGAATATTTCAGGGAGCAATGATCTAAAACAGATATTCTTTTTTTTTTTTTTTTATCCTCACCTGAGGACATTTTTCCATTTTTTTGTTCAGATAGAGTGAGAGGGAGAGAGAGAGAGAAACATCGACGTGAGAGTGACACATCGAGTGGCTGCCACCCACACGACCCGACCAGGACTGGGGACAAACTGCAACCAAGGTACGTGCCCTTAGCGGGAACCGAACCCGGGTCTCTCCGGACCGCAGGCCAACACTCTAACCGCTGAGCCAAACCGGCCAGGGCTAAAACAGATATTCTTGAGCATGCATTCCCAATGGGTAAAAAAACTTTACTCTTCATCTGTATAAAGCACAAAAATATATATGGTCCATAAACAGATATACAGAATATGTGTGGTATTACAATTTCATGGGAGTAGACGATTAGAAAAAAGATATCTAAAAAGGCTGCTATGAATTATTTTGTCAAGTCAGGGATACCTAAATTAATTCCATTTTAGTGACAATTCAAAATCCCAGGATAAAACAGAAAATCAAGGTGATCATATTTCTAACCAATGAACTTGTGAATGGACCCAATTCAGTGGCCTTTGTTTCTCCTAGCAGAAGTCACTGAAATTTTTCAAGTGGAAAGAAAACTCGAGGATAATTAAAAAGAGTTTATAAATCATGAAGTTTACAACACATACAGAGAGTACAAACCAAAATAAGTAAATTTATTTAAATTACTAAAATAGCTTTTAAAGTCATTTACAGATCAGCTTCTAGAATTTTTCTGAAGGTAAGCAAAATTAATTACTTCAAAATTATTTTGGTCAGTGAAACATTTAATAAAAACATTTGTTTCTTCATATAATATATAGGTATAAAATAAGCTTTTCAAAAACTCTCGTTTTAGAATCCTCTATAAATCAGATGATCTGACTTCTGAGGGGTATAAATGTATGAACACTGGTAGTCCCAGAGGGAAGAAATTAGACTATACTCTACCACCAGTGATGGGGTCCTCAAAAGGTAAATGGTGAAGCCAATGGCTCTAGATTTCTAAAAACAGTATTTTCATTTTAAGGTTTGTTGATAATTTAAAAAGACAAGGTGGCTCTGGAATTTGGTAAATGAGAAAGCAGTTGGTAGATGAGAAAGCTGTTACAGAAGGTGAAATATATACAGTAATGCACAGTAGTACACTTTAACATTCTTCACACATAGCAAAGTTTGCTTTCTTTTTGGCTTGAGGCACTCTTAATAAAATTTATCATGGGCACAGTAAATCTTTATGTTTGCTATAAGAGTGTCACTAAAGGATTTAGACTGCAACAAGTGGGCACGCAGAAAATTGAATCCTTCAACGCAGCTCAGGAAAGCTGGGTAACAAATGGTTTACCAAATCCTGAAATCATATTCCTTTTTTTCCCTTCCTTCCCCAGAAACTATATTTCTTAATCTAAAACTTCAGGATATCCAAAATAAACTGCTCTGGATTTACCTGCCCTTAAGAGTCAAAAGAACAAGTATACTTTACCTTGTGATATCATGCTTCAAAATCTTCGGGAGCAGAAATTTATTACAAGGTAAAGACATGTGCAAATCAAATCCTGACAGAATTGAGAATGGCATTTGGATAACTGTGTGTGACTAATTTAAGTCTCAGTGACTTATGTTAACATTTCACCTTTAAGACTTATTTTTTTCCTTCCTTTCCTTCTGCATTCCACACATTCTCCTTTCCCTTGCCTCCTCCTCCCCACCCTCCGAAAGCAAAGAAGAAAAACAAAACAAAAACCAAAACCCAACACACACCCAGATAGCCTTCCATTAATCTTGTTCCTATATGCAGAAGCTGACTAAGAAACTCACACCTAAATGATGTAAAAGAAAACAAAATGGGAAAACCCACAGTTGCCTTTAGGGAACTGCCTTATTAATAACTCAACAAACTATAAAAAACTCTACATTAAAAATCAGGAGGCTTCACAGAATGTTCTAGTCCTTCCCACTGGTGATACCAATAATGATTCAACCCAGAATCTAAATCGATCCTCTATGGGACTGCATTTAAACTTATAGTTCCCAGACACCAGTAACACAGATCTCAATGGAAACAGGGAAACGCTTCTCTCAAATAACAAGTAACAGACTAGATAAATGATTTAGATGTTCCATGTTCACATAAAAATTTAACTTCCTTTAAAAAGAAACCAATTCTTTCAAAAAGAGCTCTGAATTCTGTCTGATTAGAAGTCAGAAAAATTCTCAGAAGTTGAGACATGATTTCTCTTCTGTTACCCTTATAAGCAGATGCCCCTCTTCAGGGCACTTTCAGGCTGGACAGGCAGGACCAGGTGGGAAATTCGGCTCCAGAGCCCACTCAATTTGTCTGGGTCCATATGTTTGTAGGAGGTGGGTGTGTTCGAGTTGGTGAACTTGACTTTGAGGAAATCTCTCACTTTTTCTTCAATTTCTTTTAGGCCTAGATTGGTTTCAAGTGTCTCCTCCTCCAACAAGACAGTCAGGACTAAGGCTACATCCTTGAAGGCTGCATTTTCATGGTCACAATACTTATAGAAGATCAGAGTGGAGCCCGCAGGCAGTGATTCGAAGCGGTGCACCACCGCGGCGTTCTGGCCATTGAGGAATCCATTGTTCAGTTCTTGGTCCACCTCTAGTTTCACAGCATCACTGTCCTGGGTAGCTCGGCCTGTCCCATCAATCCGGATGGCACGGACACTACGGTAGGACGAATAGGCATCGGCAATTTGTTCGCTCAGACACTTCAGTGCTTCTTCAGCATCGCGGGCAGCGGTGAGCAGCAAGATAGCAGGCTGAGGCCGAGGTTGGGAACTATTGAGATGTTTTTCCAGGAATGTTTGGCTCCTTTTCCATAGCTTCTCGTCTTGACCTTGGTACTTATTCTTAAGCTGTTTCATCTGGTTCTGGAACTCTTGCACAGCAGTGGTTTCTACCCCAGGAGCACGAGTGTACCACCACCAACTCCCCACGGCAAGAACAAGGAGCCCAGCAACTATTAGCCACCACTTCTTGAGGAAAGGTGCATTTTTGGGTTGTCCAGTCATGTCTGCTCAGGGAAAAAAAAAAAGACAAATACAAATATAATTTTCTTATAGAATCAAGGGCAAGTGACTTATAAAACCAATATTCATCTTTATAAATATTAGACAAAAGAGGAAGAAATTTAAAGACAGGAGATGATAATTTATTTTCTTAATAATTTATTATACATTTTCACGAAAATCTCACATCCACAGTTTTAAGTTATGTGTATAAGCATGCATATGTCTCTTCAACGCTAAAATGATAAAATAAATCTTAGAGAAAAAGTAAAATTTAAATGTATGAAATGGCATAAGCAAGTCAGAAATATAATTTATAAAGCAAAACTTTTATTACTACTGCTAATATTGGGGAAGTAAAAATATTAAAAGATGCTTTATAAAATACTTTTTAATTTAGAAACTCTAAAGGTGGAATTTTTTCAAAATATGTTTTTATTGATTTTTAGAGAGAGAGGGAGAGATAGAAACATTGATGAGAGGGAAACACTGATCGGCTGCCTCCTGCACAGCCCCTCACCGGGATCAAGCCTGCAACCCAGGCATGCGCTCAGACTGGGAATCAAACTGGTGACCTCTTGGTGCACGAGACAAAAGCTCACCCAACTAAGCCAAACTGGAAGGGCTAAAGGTGGAATTTTTAAAGTGTTTGTAGGTATAAAAAGATAAAAGAATATATTCTAAGTGAACACCTTGCATGTATTATAGCTAGCTGTTCCTTTAATTGCACTGATGCGTATCTTTTGTGGTATGCAAGTTAACACTGATAAATTTTAGTTTGCAACCTATCCCTAATTATTATTGGCAATCATGACAACAATTTATGTTTATCTAGTGCCTTTCAGTTTATAAAGCACTCTCTCCTATACCATGCACTTAGTATGATGGCAATGATAATACCTTTACAACTTCTATTCATTGACTGACTGCTTTAGGCTAATAATTTTACCATGAACCCTTTAGAGCAACAATTCTCATAGTGTGTTTAGTGGGGTACCTGGAGATCCTTTCAAGGGTCTCATAATACTAAGACATTATTTAACTTTTCCCATGTTGACACTTACATTGATGGTGCAAAAAACCATGGTGGGAAAAACAATGATACCTTAGAATGAATCACAGGGCAGAGACCCAAACTATACTAATATAGTCTATATTCTTCATGGCCATGTCAGTTTTACTTAAGAATGTCCTTTATAAAGCAGTTAAAATTATTTGTCTTATTAAAACTCAATCCTTGAGTATAAATCTTAATATTTTGTGTGAAGAAATGGGAAGCACTCATAAAGTACTTTTTTTTTTTTAAACTGAATTTACTGGGGTAACATTGGTTAATAAAATTATATAGGTTTCAGGTACACAAAGCACTTCTGACGCACAGCATAGTACAACGGTTATCTCAGGAAAAGAACTTTGTGTAACTGAGCTGAGATGTGAGCTGACCTAGTGCTTTTTTGGTGGAATTTTTAATTGAAAGAACAAATGACAAACTATGGTTACTCAGACTTGAGTATCTGATAGACATTTTCTTAAAAATGAACAAAGTGAGCCTGACAACTCATAATATTTGTTGCCAGTTATAAAATTCAAGGTTCAAGTGAAAATTAGGATAGTGGAAATATTGTATCTGCCACTATCAGTTTGAAAGCTCCCAGTTCTTAAAGACTTTTTGTCTTGAGATTGGTGGTGACCCATTAACAAATGTAATCTTTCTATATTGTATTACAAATGTCTCAACATTTGGAAGAACTATGTAACTTAGTGAACCGATGTTTTCCAAATGACCAGTGCATGATATTCTATTCAAAGTACAACAAAGACCAATGGATTTTATAGAATACAAAAGTTCGTTAATATGGTCTCAGATTTCACATTTCAAATAACATTTAGAAACTACCGCTTGTTGAGTTTTCAGAGAGTATCAAAAATAAGGATATCCACAATTATCTGAAACTATTAAAATTCTACTACATATCTGTATAAAGCTGGATTATTTTGCAGATACTTCAACCAAAACAATATACTGTAACAGACTGAATTCAGAAGCAGGTTAGAAAAGACAGCTCCATTTTGTTAATCCAGACATAAAATAGATTTGAAAAAATATAAAGCAATTTATCACTCTTCTAACTAAATTATTTAAAAATAAAATTAGCCCAGCTGATGCGGCTCAGTGGTTGAGCGTCGACCCATGCACCAAGAGGTCGTCGGTTCAATTCCCAGTTAGGGCACATGCCCGGGTTGTGGGCCCAATCCCCAGTGGGGGGCATGCAGGAGGCGGCCCATCGATGTTCTCTCTCATTGATGTTTCTATCTCTCTCTCTTTCCCTTCCTCTCTCTCTAAAATCAATAAAGAAAATAAATTTTTTTTTAATCCTCAACCGAGGACATTTTTCCATTTTTTGTTCAGATAGAGCAGGAGGGAGAGAGAGAGAGAAACATCGATGTGAAGGGACACATCGAGTGGCTGCCACCCGCATGACCAACCAGGGCCGGGGACAAACTGCAACCGAGGTACGTGCCCTTAGCGGGAACCGAACCCGAGTCTCTCTGTACTGCAGGCTGACGCTCCAACCGCTGAGCCAAACCGGCCAGGGCTAAAAAATTTTTTAAAGAAATAAAAATAAGTTTAATTTCCAGGTAGATATAGATATGTATAACCTAACTTTTAAAAAAAAGGTTTTTGGGGTACTATTAATTTCACTAGTAGAAAGTGGTATTGAAACCAAAAGTCTGAGGATTACTGTTATTTTCTTAGTACTCACTCAGGATAATAAACAGGCTTAGAAAACTAAACTTGCCCCCAAAGCTATAGAGAAGGTAAGTGGTCCAATCTAATTAAAATACAGGCCCGTGGACTCTAAAACTCATGGTAAATTATGTTATGCTATGTGAGTTTTTGTTTGTGGTTTGTTTGTTTTTTTGACTCAGCAAGGTTTACTTGGTTAAAAGATTAGTAGCTTTAGTTATTAACTTCTACTTTTGGTCTTATGGACAATACAGTGAAGGTGAAAACCAGGTGTCATTTCACCTGGTTTAAAGCTTACCTTTAAAGAACTGCACTGCTAGTAAAATATATATGTTTTCCTCTGAAGTGCTTAAAATACAATTCTTCAAATAGCATTAAATTATTTTGCTGTCAAACACAATTAAAAAACAATTCTGGATCACCAGTTTTAAAGACTCGTTTAACAAAATCTGAACAGACTTACGTTGGCTGAAGGTTGATGGAGACTGGTTTCCAACTGATTTCTGAATGCCGTCATCTAATGATAGGAGTAATAAAGACTATCAATTTATGTTTCATAACTTAAGTATTCCAACAGAGAAAGAAAATAAAAATTCCACCAAGAGAAAAACAGGTGGAGATCAGCCAGAAACAGAAGAAAAAAGCAGAAGTGTCTATTAGAGTTACAGCTCCTTAAGACAGGGACCTCTTTCCCTCGCAATTATTCACGGCATGGCTACTACAAAGCATATTCTTTTTTTTTTTATCTTCACCCGAGGACATTTTTGCATTTATCTTCAGATAGAGTGTAGAGTGGGAGGGAGAGAGGGAGGAAGAGACAGAGAGAGAGATATCGATGCGAGACAGACACCTCGAGTGGTCGCCACCCACGTGATCCCAACCAAGGCCGGGGACAAACTGCAACGGAGGTACGTGCCCTTAGCATGAACCAAACCCGGGACTTTCTGGTCTGCGGGCTGATGCTCTAACTGCCAAGCCAAACTGGCCAGGGCCAAAGCATATTCTTAATACGGTCACTTTTTTATGAAGCCTTCAAGTATTTGATCCAAATTATTTAAAGGCAGTTATGAAACTTCTGGGACAAAGCTAGGAGGACCAAGTAAATAAGCAAAACTATAATAAAAGAAAACAAATACTCTCTGAAAAACTGACATATATTGAAAATTTTGCCTGGTGATGATGCTGCAGAGGAAAAAAAATAAAGGACAAAATATGGATTATGGATTATTGGGCTATCTGGATAAGGAGTCCTAATGTAAAGCTCCATCTTAACCCTATTTTCTACCTCAATCTGATTCTGGTGCTTTGGACCACTTCAAATATGAGTACTTTTTAAAAATTACATTGGTTGGGGGACTGGGTGAAAAAGGTGAGAGATTAGGAAGTACAGACTGGCAGTTACAAAACAGTCACGGGGATGTCAAGTACAACATAGGGAATATAGTCACTAATATTGTTATAACTATGTATGGTGTCAGGCAGGTACTAAACTTATGAGAGATCCTCCGTAAGTTATACTAACATCTAACCACTATGCTGTACACCTGAAACTAATACTATATTAAATGTCAACTGTAACTGAAAAATTAAAAATAAATGAAAATTACATTTAAAATTTTTTCACCATTTCTGTTAATAGACAAGTAAATTTGTTTTAGGTTTGTGGTTAAACAATAAATTTCAAAAACAGTTTTCTCACAACTTCATCATATCTCAATTATTATTACTTTAGAAAACAAATTTAAAAACTATCCCAATTTTCCTTTTCCCTCCATTTTTCTTGTCTTCGCCACAGATTTCAACCACTAAGAGAGAGGTTATAGAAGGACAGGGTGCAGAAGGCAGAGAGGCTAAGTTACTCATTCATATGATCTACAGTCCCAATACTAACATCTATCACTTATCTGGAATTATGACTGTTATTATAAGTGATTTTTTTGGTGGATCTTCCTGGCATTTATCAACATTTTTCATTTTGAGAAACAGTGAACTAAACTAGGAATAAAATTAGCACTGCCAAGATCCACAAATCACTTTATTTTTGGTCATGTGACAAAAACCCTCAATAAAACAAAATGACATCAACCTCAGCTCTAAAGGCACACTGTTTTACAATCCCTAGTTCAGCTCAGGACACTACATCTTTTAGAAGCTTCAAAATTAGGTTACCAAACTTACAAATGCATAAAAATATCTAATAGATAATGTTTAGTTTGAATAACTCACTCCATAGTTGCAAAGATCAAATGAGATAATCTTATATAAAAATGCTGTGAAGTGCTATACTATGATCATATTAATGATGAATAGCTACATAATAGTTATTATATAACATGTCATATTTATATAACTCATAAAAAGTAAATAAACAAAATGAACACAAAATTTAGAAAACGATCCTATTTACAATAGCACCAGAAAGAATAAAATGGGAATAAATTTAGCAAAGGAAATGAAAGACTTGTATGCTGAAATGTACAAAACACTGATCAAAGCCAGAGAGACCTGGGTTCGGTTCCTGCTAAGGGCATGTACCTCAGTTGTAGTTTGTCCCCGGCCCTGGTTGGGTCGTGTGGGTGGGTGGCAGCCACTAGATGTGTCCCTTTCACATTGATGTTTCTCTCTCTCTCTCCCTCCTGCTCTGTCTGAACAAAAAATGAAAAAAATGTCCTCGGGTAAGGATTAAAAAACCCAAAAAAACCACAAAAAACACTGATTAAAGGAATTTAAAGCAGACAAAATGAATAGAAAGACATTCCATATTCATAAAATGAAGAATTAATATTCTTAAAATGTCCATACTATCCAAAGTAATCTACAGATTCAGTGCAATCCCTATAAAAATTCCAATGGCATTTTTTTTTTTAACAGAAATAAACAATTGTAAAACTCATAGGTACAGTACCACAAAAACTCCAAATAGCCAAAGCAATTTTGAGTAAAAACAACAAAGCTGGAAGCATCACATTTCCTGATTTCATAATATATGACAAAGCTAAAATAATCAAAACAGCACAATCCTAGCATAAAAACAGACATCTGGACCAATGGGAGAGAACAGAGTCTAGAAATAAGCTCATGCAGACACGGCCAACTGATCTTAGACAAGTGTGCCAGAAAATGTTGTTTGGAAAACTGGATATCCACATGCAAAAGAATGAAACTGGGCCCTTATCACACATATACTATACACAAAAATAAACTCAAAACTAGAAACACAGACAAGTAGCTTGATACTAGCCTTGGCAATGATTTCTTGGATATGGTAACAAAAGCAGAAACAGAACATGAGATTACATCAAACTAAAAAGCACAGTGAGATATATGACCAAAATCGCTTTACACCTGTTAGGATGACCAATATTTAGAAAACAAGACTAAGGTATGTGAAGTGGATCTGGAAAAAAGAAAACCCCTGTACAATGTTGGTGGGAATATGAACTGGTGCAGCCATTATGAAAACCAGTATGGAGGCTCCTCAAAAAATTTAAAATGGAACTTCACATAGTCTAACAATCCCACTTTGGGGTACAGGAAATACGGATCTTGAAGAGATTATCTGCACACCCATGTTCACCGCAGTAATATTCACCACAATAGCCAAGACATGGGAGCAACCTAAATGTCCATTGACAGATGAATGGATAACACACACACACACACACAACCCTAATAAGCTGAATAATTAACATTTGGTTTCCTAGCTCTAGTAAGACAGGACAATGAAATGGTCTTCTAATAGCAGGTACACACAGCAATAAAAAATGACAGCCAATAACAAGCAAGGGCAAAAAGCTAACTCAGCTGAAGAATTCATTTATTTGTAGGGTAAAACCTCATTGCTGGGAAAAATGAATTGTGACCATTACTGCTTTATTGATGGAAAACATAGCCACAGAGCTTAACTTGTCCAATTATAGTCATTTTATGAGCAACAGACATGTGATGGGGATTTCTATATTATCTAAATAAAAGTAAGGGGTTGCCTGATGACCTTGAGACCTACTGTAGTTAGATGAGTAAAGAAGGGAGAGAGGTTAAGGATCACTTAAGGCATGGATTTTTACCTTATACAGTCAAGGTTTAATATAAACACACTGCTACAGAAATTATGATGGACACTGAATTCAAAGTACGATTGCTTCATCACATCTGTTTATGGTTATTTCCTAAATTCTATGACGTCTAACCCATCCTAAACATGAAAGTACAATTTGTGGATTTCAGCCTTTATTACTTAATAATGGGTACCCAAAGCTGTTCCAAGTTTACTCATACAGATGTAAACAAAGTCTCTGAAAAGTAAACCAGGCACTGTAGAGCAGAATCTCATCAGCATGCCAGGTACTTCTGGTGCGCAGAACCGACAACTCGTCAAGTCCAGACCCATCACCCACTGGTGTGCTCACACCACTACCTACACGTCACACCTAGTCCATCTCCTGCCAGCTTAAGTAGATGGGAATCACAAACAACCTAAATGCTTATCTGAAGAACTAAATATTTTGTATGTTAAATAATTAAGAAAAACAGCAAATAAAATTACTTCAATAATATGTAAAGATTTATCAACTTACTTGGCATCCTCATCCTTAATTTCGTGGCTTGTTCAACCCGTTCCCGAGGGGTTTTTTGATATTCTGAAACTGTAGCAAATAAATATATCAAAATATTATACCAAAATATCAGTTCATACACTTTGCCCATCCCTGTATAATCATCTAATAAACAAAACTTTGTACAAGTCCTTTGCTCTGGTCTGTGAAAATGACTGAGTTCACTAACACTTGAACTTGATTTCAATGTTAACTAAGAAGAAAAAGTTAACCATCTATTCTGGCAAATAAATTACTTTCAATAAAACTGTTCCGAACACATTTCTACATCACACAGTGACTACCACATATAATACCAATGTGTCGTGAATTAAAAAAAACAAAACAAAATAAACTGATGAACAAAACAGGACCACAGCCCTGGCTGGTTTGGCTCAGCGGTTGGAGCGTTGGCCCGCAGACCAGAGAGGCCCAGGTTTGGTTCCCGCTAAGGACACGTACCTCGGTTGCAGTTTGTCCCCATCCCTGGTTGGGGTTGTGTGGGTGGCGACCAGTTGATGTGTCTCTCTCTCTTCCTCCCTTTCTCCCTCCCGCTCTATCTGAAGATAAATGCAAAAATGTTCTCAGGTGAGGATAAAAAACAAAAAAGGGACCACAAACATGGAAGCATGGAACAGACTGACAGATCTCAGAGGGAAGGTGGGAAGTAGGGCGGGAAGAGATTAATCAAAGAATTTATATGCATATATGCATAGCCCATGGACACAGACAATAGACAGGTGAAGGCTGGGAGTGGGGTGAGAGATGAGTGGAGGGGGGCAAAGAGGGGCAAACAGGGGACATCTGTAGTACTCAACAACAAAATACATTTTTTAAAAAAAGAAAAGAAAACCCTAGATAAGTAGACTTGTCCAGTAAATTGGCAAAAAAAAAAAGCAAAGAAGCCCTGGCCGGTTTTGCTCAGCGGTTAGAGCGTCAGCCTGCGGTCCTGAGAGACCCGGGTTCGGTTCCCGCTAGGGGCGCGTACCTCGGTTGCAGTTTGTTCCCGGCTCTGGTCGGTCGTGCGGGTGGCAGCCACTCGATGTGTTCCTTTCACATCGATGTTTCTCTCTCTCTCTCCGTTCCTCTCTCTCCCTCCCACTCTATCTGAGCAAAGAATGGAAAAATGTCCTCGGGTGAGGATAAAAAAAAAAAAAAAAAAAAGCAAAGAAGATAAAATGACTTAAAATCCTATTAGTACTTTTTGTTGGCATAGTAAGTAATAAGACAGGTTATAATTGGTTGACTAATTAAGAACCACCAACCACTTACTTAGCACTGTATGTTGCTTATCAAGACCTATAAAGTCTCGACCTAAAACAAAAAACAGAGAAAAGATTATAGAATACTTGGGGAAAAAACAATAAAGATATTCCATGTTTTGGTTGTTTACTATAAATCAAAGAAACAAAAACAAAACCTTTCTTTCATCAGCCCCAAACATATTCAATATGTAATTGTTTTCCCCTTTCTAAACTTCATAATGTTCAGAAATTGGATAATTAGTAGTCAGCTTTAGGATCAATACCATCAAAATAATGATAAACTCTACTGAAAGTTCACCAGTTAGTGTAATTTTACTTAATTCTCACACTTTATGTGGTAAATACTATTATTATTCCTAATTAATAACTTTTCCAACTGTATATCTCAAAGTAGTCGGGCTGAGATATAAACCCTGGCAGTCCACATATAAGGTTATGTATTATATAAGCAAATGTGTGGACATCGCAGAGTAGTTATGAAATAAAAGATATTACCACGTGTTTTTGGGGTGGTATTTAAGGACAACTGGAAAATGATACATTGAACTAGAAAATGATATCACACTTCTAGCAAGGAAAATCTCCAAATCTGTCCTGCAGAAATGAGTTACTTCTACCCACTGATACAAGTATAGATGTAAATTTATTTCTAACTTAATTTTTTTTCTGAAAACAAATGCAATATATGCTAGCCATAAAGGAAACGCACCAGTTTAGAAAGGCATAACTTAAAAATTCATAAATATTTATTTAAGTTCCTGCTATGTAAAAAACATTACATGTAGAAAATCGTGGTGAATAAGATAATGTATATTCCTCCAGATTTGTCTTCAGTCTATACTAATAAAATACTTAAAAAAAATAATATGGTTTCATTAGTGTTTTTGGAGAGAAAGGGAGAGAGAAACATCTATGTGAGAGAGATACATTGATTGGCTGCCTCCTGCACGCCACCTACTGGGGATTGAGCCCGCAACCTGGGCATATGCCCTGACTGGAATTGACCCAGGACCTTTTAGCCCACATAGAATGATGCTCAATCCACTGAGCCACACCAGCCAGGCAACAAAACATTTTTTTTTCAAAAAGTAGACATATAGCCCTGGCCAGTGTGGCTCAGCAATTAGAGCGTACCTCAGTTGCACTCTGTCCCCAGCCCCAGTTGGGGTTCTGTGGGTGGCAGCCGGTCGATGTTTCTCTCTCTCTCCCTCCTTCTCTCCCTCCTGCTCTATCTGAAGATATGCAAAAATGTCCTCGAGTGAGGATAAAAAAAAAAAGTAGACACATAGCCCTGGCCAGCAGTTAGAGCATCGGCCTGTGGACCAAAGAGTCGCAGGTTTGATTCCGGTCAAGGGCACATATGTGTGTCTTTCTCACTTGATGTTTCTCTCTTCCTTCCTCCAACTCTGTCTGAAAATCAGTGAAAAAATATCCCCAGGTAGGATTAAAAAAGAAAGAAAAGTAGACATGATTTTTTTATATTTCCCTTCAATTCTTAAAAAGTAGTTTTTAAAAAAACACCTCAGATTTAGTGCAGCATCTTATAATCAATGGTATGTCATAGTTTAACTGCATGGTTTTTCTTTCTCAGTGATGCATAAAATCAATGGTATCTTAGATTCAAAAAAATATACCTTTTTTTAAAATCCTCACCCAAGGATATTTTTCCATTTATTCCCAGACAGGGAGGGAGAGAAATACTGATGTGAGAGAGACGAGACCTCGACTGGTTGCCTCTGGCATGACCCCAAAACCAAGGCCGGGATCAAACTGCAACTGAGGTACGTGCCCTTGACTGGCATTGAACTCATGACTCTTTGGTCTGTGGGCCAATGCTCTAACCACTGAGACAAACCTGCCAGGACCAAGGAAATATATGTATATATACATATTTTTATCCTCACCCAAGGACAACTTTCCATTTTTTGTTCAGGTAGAGTGGGAGGGAGAGAGAGGGAGGGAGGGAGAGAGAGAGAGAGAAACATCAATGTGAAAGGGACACATCGAGTGGCCGCCACCCTCACGACCAACCAGGGCTGGGGACAAACTGCAACTGAGGTATGCGCCCTCCGCGGGAACCAAACCCGGGTCTCTCTGGACTGCAGGCTGACGCTCTAACTGCTGAGCCAAACCAGCCAGGGCCCAAGGAAATGTATTTTGATACCTATACTCATTAGTATTAAGAATTAACTCATTTTTCATAGCTATATAGTAGTCCAATGTGTGACTATGATATAATTTAAATAGAAAGCTAGATTTAAGAGCTTCCAAAATCAAAGATTTAGAATAACAAAGGGCAAAAATATTATATAATTCAGAAGATCTTTTCCATAAATGACTTATTTTTGTTTCAGCAGCTTATTTTATTACCTCTCAGTTTTTAAGTCACAAACCTAGAACCTACTGACAAGTTAAAAAAAACAAAACAAAATAGCCCTGGCCAATTTGGCTCAGCAGTTAGAGCGATGGCCCAAGACCTAGGGGTTACAGGTGTGATCACGGAGTCCAGTCCAGGATGTGTGGGAGGCAATTGATCGATGTATCTCTCTCACACAGATGTTTCTCTCTCACTCTCCCTCCCTCCCACTCTCTCTAAAACTCTATGGAAAAATATCCTCGGGTGAGGATTAACGATGATTATGACAACAAAAAAGTATACATATATAAAGTGGAAGTCCATGAACACAGAGCTTATAAAACAGATTTCCACAGTCCCGAGATGGCAGCAGCCACCATGAAGGCAGCTGCAGAAGACGTCAATGTCACTTTTGAAGATCAACAAAAGAAAAACAAATTTGCACGAATACAAGTAGAATCACAGAGCTGAAGGAAGAAATAGATGTAAAAAAGAAAAAAATTCCAAAATTTAGAAGATGCCTGTGAGGGCGTCATGTTTGCAGATGATGACTTCTTAAAGATATCTTATCAAGCTGGTGATGTTCTCATTAGCCATTCACAAGAAGAAACACAAGAAATGTTAGAAGAAGCAAAGAAAAATTCGCAAGCATCTGACACCTTAGAATCCACAGGGGAATCAATTCAATGGGTGTTAGCAGATTTGAAAGTTCAGTTTATATGCAAAATTTGGGAGCAACATAAAACTTGAAGCTGATGAAAGTTAAACACTGTATAATACTTTAATATATATGTTTTCTTTATTGATTTTAGAGAGAGAGAGGAAGGGAAAAGGAGGGAGGGAAGGAGAGAGAGAGAGAGAAACACTGATGAGAGAGAACATCGATTGGCTGCCCCCTGCACAGCCCCCACTGGGGATTGGGCCCACAACCTGTGCATGTGCCCTGACCAGGAATCAAATCAGCGACCTCCTGATGCATGGGTCGATGCTCAACCATTGAGCCACAGTGGCTGGGCAAACATTGTATATAATACTTTTATTTTATTTTTTTAAATTTTCTTTATTGATTTTAGAGAGAGAGGAAGTGAGAGGAAGAGATAGAAACATCGATGAGAGAGAACATCGATTGGCTGCCTCCTGCACGCCCCCCAATGGGGATCAGGCCCACAACCTGGGCATGTGTCCTGACTGGGAATCGAACCAGCGACCTCTTAGCGCATGGGCCGATACTCAACCACTGAGCCACACTGGCTGAACATACCTTTAAAAATTTTGTTTAATAAACTTGAATATTGTTCAAATGACAATTTCCTTTCAAATGATATGAAAAGCAAAACTTTCTTTTTAAAAAATTTGTCATTTAATGGAAACCTGCCTATTTTCACATCTTGCTTATTTATTTTATATTTTTAAAAGGACACAATATTATTTATGTATTTCGCATAACTATTATTATATCAAGTGTAGAAATTTTATATTGTTATTAAAATTAGATAAGCAATCAAAAGAAAACCAAACAGATTTCCAAAGACTTCTTCTTTAAAAATAGTTTCATATTTTTAAAAAAGGCAATATGGAAGAAAGAAAAATGTCCTTGAAGATTTTATATACAAAGATATTTTTGATCTATTAATAACTCAAATTCTGGGGCTTCATTGTATATAATCTGCAAAATACAGGAAAAAGGTAAAAGAAAAATGTCGCTGATAAGCCTACTATCCTAAACAAATCATTGTTGTTAGCTTTTAGCACATTACTGCCTTTCAATCTTTTCTTGTGTTATATTTTCTCAACACTTTATTATGAAAAATTTCAAAGTTATACGCAAGGCTATAAAATGTTTATATGCCCACTACCTAGCTTACATTAACTTTTTACTATACCTCATTTATTACTTATTCATCATCCAAACCTCTGGAAATAAAATTTTATATCCTACCCTGGCCGGTTTGGCTCAGCAGTTAGAGCGTCAGCTGGTGGACCAGGTAGTCCCGGGTTTGGTTCCCTCTAAGGGCATGTATCTTGGTTGCGGTTTGTCCTGCCCCAGTTGGGGTTGTGTGGGTGGCAACCACTCAACGTATCTCCCTTACATCGATGTTTCTCTCTCTCTCTTACCCCCTCACTCCCTCCCACTCTATCTGAAGATAAATGCAAAAATGTCCTCAGGTGAAGATTAAAAAAAAAAATTTTATATCCTTATTAGAATATATTTATAAAAGTAGGTTTAAATTACTACATTACTTAATTAAAAACAATCAACAAATTTATATAGCAAGCAAGAATATTCAACATATCACTGAAAGCAGTTTTGTGTTTTTTAATTCAAATACAAGGTTGAACAGAGAGATGGTTAACTCAAGAAGCAAATTCAAGATGTAGGATGAGGTTTTTAAAGCATTCACCATACCCCTTTTCAACATTTTGCATTAAACTTGAAAGAGAACATCTTTAAAAATGAGAGCAGCATTGACCAAGCCCACAGGTAGACTTTTAAGAAGGTAAAACATGGCTTTACGTACTTTGTGATGACTGCCCAAATGATTCTGGATGTTGACCTGATCCACTGGTTTGATCTAAAAGAGAAAAAAGGAATATAGTAAAATATAGAGCATAGTTAACTTATTAAACGCAAATTTTACAAGAGAAAAGGGAGCAATCAAAAGAGCAAAAACACTCAAACCCCAGGGAATTAAACCTTTGGGTGCATAATTTTAAAAGTTTCTAAACAGTCAAGTTGTATCTAAAAAACTAATCATCTGTCTTTCCTCTAACCACTTTGTAAAGGAAAAACATATATATAGATATAGAAAGAACATGGCATAAGGGGAAATTTTGAAAGTTTATAATAATGGTTCTTTTTGAAATCATTAAGATCAATTTTTGCCTTAAATTTCTCTTGCAAGCATCAATACATTATTTTAACAGACTCTTCTTAAAAACATTTTCATATATAAATGAAATTTATAAGTAAATCTGTATAAAAGCCATCAGATTGCTATTTTGGCAATAGAAGCATTTGACACATTCAGGTATGGTGGCTAAATGTATTTTTTAAAATATGTTTTTATTAATTTCTATTTTTAGAGAGAAAGGGAGAGGAAGAGAGAGAGAGAAACATTGATTGGCTGCCTCCTGCATGCCCCCATTGGGGACTGAGCCCACAACTCGAGCATTTGCCCCAACCAGGAATTGAACCAGTGACCTCTTGGTGCATGGGACAATGTTCAATCCACTGAGCCACACCAGCCAGGTGTAAATATTTTTGATAGTGTATTCTTATTTAAAAAGTTCTGGCCCTGGCTGGTTTAGCTTGGCAGCTAGAACGTCGGCCTACGGACCAAAGGGTCCACGGGTTCAATTCCCAGTCAAGAGCACATACCTGGGTTGAAAGTTCGATCCCCAGCCCTGGTGGGGTCGTGCAGGAGGCAACCAATCGATATATCCCTCTCCCATTGATGTCTCTCTCTCTCTCTCTCTCCCTCCCTTCTACTCTATCTAAAAATCAATGGAAAAATATCCTCTAGTGAGGATTAACAACAACAAAAAAACAAGCAAACAAAAACCATGTATGTGAAATCTTAAAAAAAAAATCGAAGCATTAATTTTCAAAACCTATTTTTTTCTGACATTATATATATGCATTATTGAAATAATATATTAACTAATGTGTTGAAATAGAAAAATATATGCATGAAATTCTAATGTTTTCTTCCTACATCCAAAGGATCTTCTTGTAACTCTTTGGTAATAACTGGCCCCAAAGATAATCTAGGAAGACCAGTATTCTTCTTAACATGCTTCATGTCTTTGTTCCTCAGCTAGTTTTCTTTGCACGTGGGCATGTGTGCTTCAATAAGAATATATTAGAATTCTAAAGAGATCATATAGCCTGGGGTTCACATAGTTTCAAAGAGCTATATATCCTTGTAGCAATAGCATTAAACTATTGGCTATATGAATGCTTGGTCTCTAATTTTTAGAGCTTTAAGTATACATATGAAAACTAGTAGCAGCACTTAATTTAAGTGTTTCCTATGTGCCAGGTACTTTCTAAGTGCTTTGCACAATATGAATTAATTTAACCTCACAACAACCCAGAAGTTAAGCAATTGCCCGAGGGCACAAACCTAGTGGTGAAGGAGTGAAACTCAGGGATTCTGGCTCCAGAGCCCATGTTCTTAACCACTATGCTAGAGTGTTGCATATCTCCTTTGGGATTTCTGTATCAAGAAAGAATGAAAAATGAGGAAGGATGGGAAATCTATAAAATACCAAATGCCCACAGACCAGCTTATGAGCTTATTTTAAAAGTGGAATGATTAAATAAAACTTAGAAATGACAGAACTTCTCAAAAGGTGATAAGGGGAAAGTGGAAACAGTCTTCCATGAGACTAAAGTATAAAATTACTCATTATTTATAGAGGTTACATATTTGATCAGTACCCTCTCTTAAACCACAATTTTTTTTTTTTTCCTCTCTTCAGTCATTTTTTTCCTTGAATAAAGTTAAACACAAGTTTATGTGAATAATCAGAAACTGTTATTGCTAACTTGGTATGAATTTGAACAGCCCAGAAATAAAAGTTGTTATCTAAGTATATTAAAACTTCCGAGAAGCTAACACTCCTGGTAGTGTAGGGAGCACTAATGCAGTATGATCAGTTTCCCTATCAAAAAAATTTTTTAAACTACAAATAACTCTTCTTGTGAGCACAAAAATATTGTATTCCATAAATACCAAATCAGGCTAAAAAGTGATTTAATTGTTTATATATGACATTATATTTCTAATCAGATGTATACATGGAATCAGTAATTGTAAGAAATTTAAAGAAGTGTAAAGGAGAAACATCTGTAACAAAAATAAAAACTGGAAAAAAAAGTGTACAACTTTAAAAGTTTTAATAAAATAATTTAATGTATTTTTTTAAATAGCAGATTCCCAGACTACCTTTATATTTTAACTAAAAATGCATCTCCTAAGATTAGCATCATATGTGTGTAAAGCAGTATTACCTCCAGAGCTAACAGAGTCCCCGGATCTGACCTTAACAGTAGACACAGCACTGTCAGAGCTGTCCTGATCATCTTCAGTGTCCCCTAAGAAGGAATAAACGATACACTAGTATAGCTTTACTGCTCTAAAGATCTGGGTTATAAAACAGAAACAAGCATTCAACATTAAAGTGAAATCTTTTTAATTATCAGATATACAATTGCTCTTTATTATGTTTGCTATTCTGAGTTACATTTTAAATAAGCTAAAATTGAGCTTGTTTATTTTATGTTCTCTGAGGCATATTCCAAACAAATAGAATATCTGTAAGATTATATTCTGAGGCTTTAAGTTAAAAAAAAAAAAAGTATTAAATAGTAGAAAAATTTTACCTTATATAGTTTACCTCATTAGTGTGTAAATTTAGACAAAATTAGTATATGCACACATGCATGTCTGTATTTGCATGTTTGCAAACGGTATATACATGCCCATACACAAACATTTCAGAATGCAGGTGACTAATTTCAGATTATGGTGGGCTTAAAAATGAACTAAATTGTACTGTACTATTCAAATATAGACCAGTTATGATCATTTGAAAACTGTTTTAATAACAGAATCAAAGGCCAGCACATGTCAGAAACTGAAAATGCTAGCTTTGCTTAAAATTATTAACTCATATAAAAGATGCTTAAAATGCACATAAAGGCTATCAACACTCATTCTATATACTATTTTACCTGTTCATTTGACAGTTCAGATAAGCATCCCCCCCCCCCCCCCCGGAGAAAAAGACACTCTCTTCTGCTCTCATGCTGAAATATCCATCAAAATTGCTAATAATATTAACACCACCACCACCACCACCACCACCACCACAAAAGATTAAGAATAGACTGCATGACATTTTAAAAGAAAATACCTTCTTCAGAGAAAATGACCTTCTGTTGGACACTGTTGGCTTCTAGAAGAGAAAGCACATGTATATAACATCAAAAGCTAAAGCTCGGGAATAAATAAAAGCGTCTAGATTAAGAAAAGTGAACATAAAGACACACTAAACTATTTTTTTTGTTAAATCAAAAAAGAATATATTGTTTCCCTCTTTGCTAGTTCAGAAATAAGTCTGATACAAATGAAAATCAGTAAGTTCTTTCAACCACGGGTCTAATTGTACTCGAGAATGTAACCTGATTCTGCAGACATTAAATTCGATGTTGATAAATATTCAAGTCCCTATAGGCAGTAGTTTAAAAAACAAAACAAAAACAAGCACCGCCCTTTATGTATGTTGTCTCATTCTCATAAAGTCATATGGGAATACACTTTTTAGGCTAAGGCTCAATGATATTAAGTGACTTGACTAAGGACTAAAAAGTGATTAAAAAAAAAAAAAAAAAAAAAAAGACCGAACTCTGGCTCTTCTGATTTCCAGTCTACTATCCTTTTACCATTCCATCAGTCTTGTTCATAAAAACACACTGTAAACACTCAAGAATGTTTTAAAGAATTAAGATGATTTTTTTTAGAGCAGTTTAAGGTTCATGGCAAAATTGAGTGGAAATTTGCTCCCACACTTGCATAGTCTCCCCATTATCAACATCCCTACCAGAATTGTACATTTGTTACAACTGATGAACCTACTATTAACAAATCACAATCACCCCAAGACCTTAATTTACAAGGGTTCACTCTTGGTGGTATACATTCTATGCATTTAGACAAATATGTAATGACAGGCATCCATTACTATGGTACCAAACAGTATTTTCTCTGCCCTAAAAATCTTGTGCTTCACCTCTTCGTCCCTTCCCTACACCCCAAAACCCTTGGTATCCACTGTTCTTTTTACTATCTCAATTATTTTGCCTTTCCTGGAATATCATGTGGTTGGAATCACACAGTGTGTATCCTTTTCAAATTGGCTACTTTCACTTAGTAACATGCATTTAAGATTCCTCCATGCCCTCTCATGGCCTAATAGCTCATTTCTTTTCAGCATGGAATAATATTCCATTGTCTGGATGTAGCAATTTGTTTATCCATTCACCTGATGGACATCTTGACTGCTTCCAAATCTTGGTAAACATGAATTATGCCGCTATAAATATCTGTGTGCAGATTTTTGTGGGGACATATTTTCAACTATTCTGGGTAAATATCAAGGAATGTGATTGCTGGAACATATGGTAAGAGTATGTTTAGTTTTATAAGAAATTGTAAAAACACCTACTGAGTGGTTAATACCATTTTGCATTCCCACCAGCAATGAATAAGAGTCTGTCGTTCCACATTCTCACCAGCAATTGGTACTGTCAGTGTTCTGCATTTTAGCTTGTGTGTAGTGGTATCTCATTGTTTTGAAATTGCATTTTCCTGCTTACATATGATGTGAAGTATCTTTTCACATGGATTTTTGCCATCTGTATATCTTTGGTGAGGTGTCTATTAAGATTTTAGGCCCATTTTAAAATCAAATTGTTTTCCTATTGTTGAGTTTGTTTGTTTTTTAATCCTCAACCGAGGACATTTTTCCATTTTTTGTTCAGATAGAGCGGGAGGGAGAGAGAGGAAGAGAGAGAGAGAGAAACATCGATGTGAAAGGGACACATCGAGCGGCTGCCACCCGCACGATCAACCAGGGCCGGGGACAAACTGCAACCGAGGTATGAGCCCTTAGCGGGAACCGAACCCGGGTCTCTCTGGACCACAGGCCAACTCTCCAACCACTGAGCCAAACCGGCCAGAGCCTATTGTTGAGTTTTAAGAGTTCTTTGTATACTTTGGATAAACAGTCCTTTATCACATGTCATTTATAGAATAGTTTTTAACAAAGTTCAACTTTTCAATTATTTCTTTCATGGCTTGTGCCTTTGAAAGAAAAAGTCATCGGATTTAACTAGCAGCAGTATTTTGCAAGCCTGTGGGAGGAGCACCTCACTCAGATTTAAAGGGTCAGGGAATTTCTGTCCAGAGGAAGTAAGACATGAAGAAATAAATAGGAGTTAACCAGAGAGAAGAAAGGAGGGAGAGAGACATGGCTGTGAAAGATACACTGACTGGTTGCTTCCCACACCCACCCTGACCAGGATGGAACCTGCAACCTAGAAGACCTAGTTTGCTTCAAAAATATCAAAGCAGCAGCACCTCATCACTATCTGGTGGCGTCAAAGAAGCATATTGGAAACAGTACAGTTCTAAAGAAAGAGCAAAGAGGACTCATTGAGAATATGGTTGCTGATGAAAAAACCATTCTTGAAGAAGAAAAATTTTCACTGACTTCAAAAATGTGAGAACGGATTTCCATGTGCCACCATTCTGTTCCATTTCCCACTTGCACCTTCATGTTATGGCACCAGTAGACCAGTGTGGCTTCTCTTCAAGATTGGTTTATAGAATGGACTCCTTTTGGCTAATCACAGCTAATTATTTAATTGAAAAACTAAGAAAAAAGTGACAGTAGTGGAAGATTTTATTCTTTGCTCCACATAAACTAATATTTGGCCCTTTTTAAGTCAAATTAAATGGTAAGGTTTGTTGGATTTTATAAGAGGCTATTCCTGGGTAGCCTTAAATCTTTTCTGAATGTCTGTTTCCTGAGATCTGTAATCTGGCTGTATGACTACTCTGTCATTGACTTCTTTGTTTTAATGGTTATTTGTCTAAGGTATGAGATACTATAGATGAAATACCATTACAACAAATTCTGTTAATCAAGAATGTCTCTGTATTTTCAAAAAGGTTCAAGTATTTTCATTTCTCCCTATTGTCAATTATAACAGTGATTTACTATGAAGAATAAACAATTTTTAAAAAAGAAGTCATCATTATACCCAAGGTAATCGAGGTTTCTTCCTGTTATCTTCTAATAGTTTTAGTTTTGTGTTTATATTTAGGTATGTGATCAGTTTTGAGTTAATTTTTGTTAAGGGTATAAGGTTTGTGTCTAGATTTATTTTTTGGCACGTGGATGTCCCATTGGCCCAGTACTATTTGTTGAAAGGACTCTTTGCTCTATCGTATTGCCTTTGCTCCTTGGTCAAAAATCAGCTATTTGTGGGTCTCTTCATGGGCTCCTTTTTCTGTTCCATTGATCTATTTGTCTATTCTTTGGCCAATGACACTATCTTGATAACTCTAGCTTTATAGTTAAGTCTTGAGGTTGAGTACTATCCTCCTACTGTGTTCTTCACATTCAACATTATGTTGACTGTTTTAGGTCTGTTTCTCCATATAAACTTTAGAATGAGATTGTCGATATCCACAAAATAACTTGCCGAGATTTTGACTAGAAATGCATTGAGTCTATAGATTCACTTGGGAAGAAATGACATCTTGACAAATGGAGTATCTCCTCCATGTATTTAATAGTTATTCTTTGATTTCATTAATTGGTTTTATAGTTTTTCTCAAATCTTATACACATTTTATTAGATATGTACTTCATTTGGGGGGGTGCAGATGGTAATTGTATTGTTTGTAACTTTAAATGTGTTATTCATTGTTGGCATCTAGAAAAAGCCATCAACTCTTGTATACAGGGTGGGGCAAAAGTAGGTTTACAGTTGTGGGTATGCAAAACAGTATTTACTATATTATTATTTTCCAAATGAACTTTAAACCTACTTTTGTCCCACCCTGTATGAACCTTGCATCCTACAAGCTTACTGTAATTGTCTATTAGTTTCAGCAGTTTCTGTCCATGCTTTTGGATTTTCTACACAGATGGTGTCATCTGTGAACAAAGACAGTTTTATTTCTTCCTTCCCAATCTATATACCTTTTATTTCCTTTTCATATCTCACTGCATTATCTAGAACTTCCAGCACAATGCTGAAAAGGAGTGGTGAGTGAGGGCATCCTTGCCTTGTACCCAATGTCACAAAAGCTTTCAGTTTCTTATAAGTAAGTATGTTAGCTGTAAGTTTTTCTTTGTTGTTTTGTAGACAGTTTTAATCAAGTTCCCCTCTATGCCTAGTTTATTGAGTTCTTATAATGAATGGGTGTTGGGAGTCTCTCAAATGCTTTTCCTGCATCTACTGATATGACTACATAATTTTTCTTTAGTTTGTTGATGTGATAGATTACATTAATTACTTTTTAAATAATTTTTTTGTACTTTCTTGGGATTTGGTGTTTCTGGTTATGGCATATAGGACGTGATTAAAAATAAATGTTTGTTTTAATGACTAGATTTTAGGATCACAAAATAAAAGCTTTTAAGTTAAGACTTTTGTTAATATTTCTCATACCATAACTTAAAAAAAATAATACTTGCATGACCAATGAACATAGACAACAAAGCTGAGGATGGGGCGGGGGAGGTGGATGTCAATGGGGGAAAAATGAGAAATATTTGTAACAAAAACAAATTAATGAATAAAAAATAAAAAATAAAATAAAAAAACAGTACTTGGCAACTTAAGAAAAATAATCTGAAATTAGTGCTTAATAATCAGATTTCTTGCAAGGTTTTAAACATTCCATTTGTTTTCATTTTTTTAACTTAAGCTGCAAAACATTTACAGGTAAATATTTAAATACCACCTGATAGAATAAAAAGAGAACTTCCAGTCAAGATGGCGGGTAGGTAAACGTGATATTGTGTCCAACCACAACCACATCAAAGTTACAACTAAACTACACAACAACCATCATTCAAAACCGCCTGAAATCAACCTGAATGAAAGTCCTACAATTACGGAATTAAAGCAGCAGCCACATGGAGACTGGTAGGAGGGGCGGAGGGGATGGGCTGGTCCCACACCCACATGGGGTGGATAAAAATCAGGAGGACACCTCGGCTGGGAAGGTCCTCCCTGAGGACTGAGGGGTCCTCATCCCACACCAGGGTTCCAGTGCCAGGAAGAGAATCCCCATCACTTATGGCTGAAAAAACCAGCGGGAACTGAGGCTCAGGGAGGCTGAGGTGGCTGGAGCCCCAGGCAGCTCCTTAAAGGGCCCGCGCACGGACTTATCAGACTCTCTCCCTCTAAGCTTGGAGAGGAGGCAGCTCGAGGGGCGCCAGAGACATACAGGGAAGAACTGAGCTGTTTGGCACTGGAGCGAGGACTGGAGAGGGGGCTTTCTCCGGGACAGACGTGCTGTCAGAGGCCTTGGTCCCTTTGGTGAGCCCTTCCCTGGGGCGGCAGACGGCCGCCATATCTGGGACTCCAGCAACCTGGCTCACACTGGTTGCCCCGCCCTGGTGATTGACTTCGGCCCCGCCCACACTACCCAACTTTCAGGCCCACCCTACCCAACTTTCAGGCCCACCCAAGCTGTTGCCAGTCGCTTAACCATAGGATTGGCCTGTCTTGGATCCTGCCTCAGGCTTTCCTGAATTCTTTCAAACAAGCAGCATCTGGTCTCAGCTAGCCCCTAACCCTCATTAAGTAATACATAGAAACAAACACAGGGAGGCAGCCAAAATGATGAGACAAAGAAACAGGTCCCAAATGAAAGAACAGAACTAAACTCCAGAAAAAGAACTAAGCAAAATGGAGATAAGCAACCTAACAGATGCTGAGTTCAAAATACTGCTTATAAGGATGCTCAATGAACTTAGTGAGAACATCATCAAACTTAGTAAGGGCCTCAAGAGCCTAAAAAAGGACCAGTCAGAAATGAAGGATGCACAGTCAGAAATGAAGGAGGCACTAACTGAAATAATGAATAATTTACACAGATTCAATAGTAGAGTAGATAAAGCCAAAAAGCAAACCATCGATTTGGAATATAAGGAAGCAAAAAACACCCAATCAGAACAGCCAAAAGGAAAAAGAATCCAAAAAAATGAGGATAGTGTAAGGAGCCTCTGGGACAACTTTAAGCGCACCAACATTCGCATCTTGGGGGTGCCAGAAGGAGAAGAGCGAGAACAAGAAATCGAAAACCTATTTGAAACTATAATGACAGAAAACTTCCCTAACTTGGTGAAGAAAACAGACATACAGTCCAGGAAGCACAGAGAGTCCCAAATAAGATGAACCCCAAGGCACATCATCAAAATGCAAAAGGTTCAGGACAAAGAGAGAATCTTAAAAGCAGCAAGAGAAAAGCAGTTAGTTACCTACAAGGGAGTTCCCATAAGACTGTGAGCTGATTTCTCAAAAGAAACTTTGCAGGCCAGAAGGGAGTGGCAAGAAATATTCAGAGTGATAACAAGCAAGAACCTACAACCAAGATTACTCTATCTTGCAAAGCTATCATTTAGAATTGATGGCCATATAGTTTCCCAGACAAGAAAAAGTTAAAGGAGTTCACCACCAAACCGTTATTATATGAAATGATGAAGGATCTTTTTGAAGAAAGATAAAATATATGAACAAACAAAATGACAATGAATACATATCTATCGAAAATTGAATCTACAAACAAAATGAACAGGCAGAACAGAAACAATCTCAGACACAGAGAACAATTTGTTGGTTGCCAGATGGGAGGGAGTTTGGGGGAATGGGTGAAAAAGGTGAAGGGATTAAGAACAAATTGGTTGCTAGACTGACAAACCTCAAAGGGAAGCGGTGGGAAGAAATAAACCAAAGAACTTATATGCATAACCAATGGACACAGACAACAGTGTGGGAAAAGGCAAGAGGGGGGCGGGAGTGGGGAGGAGGCGGGGTCAGTGGGGGAAAAATGAGGAACATCTGTAATGCATTCAACAATGAAGATAAATATAAAAATAAATACCACCTGATAATGAATCAGCAGTAACTATGACTACATAAGTTTTAATTTCATTTCCCTCTTTTGATATTCAGCTTCCCTTATTTTAAACTTCTTGGCTGCTACATGCACAAATGTAAAACATTAAATTAAAAAAAGTGTATACACACACACACACACAGGATAAGGCAAAAGTAATTTTACAGTTTGTATAGAAAATAATACAATAATAAGTAAATAATACATGAATAAACTCTGTGTTTCATGTACTTACAACTGTAAACCTACTTTTACCCCACCCTTTTATAATATATATATTATAAAATACATATATATGGTATTACTCTTCCCTATGCTCATGCAGAAGCTTTGATAAATTAAAAACTTATCTGAAGCAATCATGTCCTTAATTTTATTTTTAACTTTTGAAATAGTTTATTGATTTATAGAGAGGAAGGGAGAGGGAGAGAGAGATAGAAACATTGATGTGAGTGCAACATTGATCAGCTGCCTCCTGCCTGCCCCCTACTGGTGCACAAGATGACACCCAACCAACTGAGCCATACCAGCTAGGGCAATACCCTTATTTTTTTTTTAATTATTTTAAGAAATTATAAAAGCTGTGGCTTTGATATATATGTAGACACATGACAATAATTAAATGGGCTTTAAACTGTCAAATTTCAACAACCTCAACCGATTATAAAAAGGTACTTTCAGAAATTCTAGGTGTTTGCTGCAAGAATAGATCACCTATAACCATCTCCTATGGTGGAGACCACAAATTGTAACACTTTGTTCACTTTCTTTTACATGATCACAGTTTTTGAGGAAAAACAAAGTTCCAGGTATAGATGTCTATTACTGTATAAACTTTCTTATTTCTAGAGATTTGTAGAATATCCTGATGTGAGGAGAGAAGGGTACTCAAGCAAATATAAACTTTGCTTAACCTTGTGTTTTGTTTGGGGGCAAAGACATGAAGATTTCACAAATGAGACTATCATGCGTTCTCAAAGAGAAGACTAGATAGAACACAGGTGTCATTGTGTCTCTTGTCTCTTTGTGCTGTCAGTACAACTTAGCATAGAATGTTACAATAAATCCATGTCCAGGCAAGTATGTACCTCTCTTAATTTACTCTTAGAACAAATAAATGACAATTTGGATTATTTGCTGTCTTTATTCCTGCCATTGATATAAATAAGGGGTCTAAATTTCTTCCATATAGGGCCAAATAGCAAATATTTTAGGCTCTGTGAGCCTTGGAAATTCTCTGTCATTCACATACGTATTTCACAAAATGTAAAGATCTTTTTTTTTTTTTTGAAGCGCACAGGCTTCAAAAACAGAATTGCAGGTCAGATTTTTACTCAGAGGCTAAATATAGTTTGCTGACCACTGGTATAAATAACTTTAAGAAAGGTACCTATGAAATTATTCAATGCCAACAATGCTTTTGAGAACAGTCAAGAGGGGAGCAGCAGGAAGAGAGATTAAAGAATTATTTGGGGACATTACTAGTATTCAAGCTCCATGAAGAGCCATTTAACATATTCCATTCTCTATATTAATCTCACAGAAATTTCCTTTAAACTGGAAAGCACTTGATTTAGGGTTAGTTTTTTATCTTTTTTTTTTAGAGTGGGGAGGGAGGGAGAGAGAGAGAGAGAGAGAGAGAGAGAGAGAGAGAGAGAGAGATACATTAACGTGAGAGAGAGACACTGATTGGTTGCCTCCCACACAACCCGACCAAGGGCAGGGACGAACCTTAACCAAGGTACGTGCCCTTGACTGGAAGCGAACCCTCGACTCATTGGTTCTCGAGCCGATGCTCTGACCACTGAGCAAAACAGTTCAGGGCATAGTTTTTTATTATAAAATACTTATAAAAATGACTTCTAACTCTAGCTTAGAAAGTAAAAGTGTAGAATTATTTTAGTTCCAAGTTCTCTTCCAATTAAGAGTCTGACTTAATTACCCCAATAAACTCAATAAAAGAAAAATATTCCAATTTTAAAAGAAAAAGCTTAAAAAAAGAGTCTGACTTAAAAACATTTCTTTTTTTAAGTTTTAAAACAGAGCACCAGAGAAACTGGTGTTTTGATAAAAGCATGACTGTTGTATACGGCAAGGATCATTTTCAGCACCCAGACACCGTAAATCCTGAAGTCTCTCAAGATATTAGCCTCAGCTTCAGTGAAAGATAAATTTAAAAGCTCCAACTAGCCCTGGTCGGTTTGGCTCAGCAGTTAGAGCATCAACTCGTGCACCAGTGAGTCGAGGGTGCAATTCCAGACAAGGGCACATACCTTGGTTGCAGTTCGTCCCTGGCCCTGGTCAGGTTGTGTGGGAGGCAATCAGTCAGTGTGTCCCTCTCACATCGACGTTTCTCTCTCTTTCTTTTCCTCTTTCTCTCTCTCTCCCTCCCTCCCACTCTGTCTGATGATAAACAGAAAAATGCCCTCGGGTGAAAATTAAAAAAATAAACAAATAAAAGAAGCTCCAACTATTTATAAAGAAAAAGGAAGCTTCTCGCCTTTTGACTCATCTTCAAATTTAGAAAAGAATTGTAACTTAAAACTAAGTCTGACCACAATCAATGTAGATCCACTTAAAGCCACAGCTCGTGGTATCTCATGTCCTACACACACACACACACACACACACCTCAAAGCCACTGAAAAGAATTTAAACCTGGTCAACAAACATGACAAAGGATATCGTACTTACTTATGAAAAACATCTCAAATGCACCTTCTAAGTCATGGAAAAAAACCTTAATTGGTAAATTGATATCTCTTTCTCTCAACAGTGTAAATTTAACAAAAGCAAATTAAAACTAAAATATATCTGTTCTGAGATGAATTTTAACAATACTGTAACAAAATACATAATTTCAAATAGAACAAAAGCCAAAGCTATTAAGAAAGGTCATAGGGACAGTGTCCCACACACTGAGATAATGAACAAAGTAATATTACCAAGCCAGTGACCCAAAGTGTATACTCCTATATGCTACCGATAAACAGAATCCTCAAAAAACACCTAGAAAAATTCAAAATCAACACACCTAATTCACTCATTTCAGTATTTCCATTTGTTTTGTATGCTGAATCTGCAAGAGAGATAGTGAGAAGATGATTAGAGCTTAAAAGGAAATGCATCATATGGTTCTTTACCACAAGTTCATCTTCAAAACCTTAACAGATCTTTATCATTATTATACTTGACAGTCATATAAGAAAAAAAAAAATCTACCTAATTTTTTCTTACAGAATATGACTAAGGGGTAGAAACCGAATGTGAGGGTAAATAAGCTTCCCTTTTAGCTCCCATAATAAAGCATTCTTATGAACCAAAAAACTCTGAAAATGAAGTAGAAGTAGACTGCTTGGTATGACTTTACTAGTTTCCTTTCATAGTCATGAAATTAATTTAGGGGTAACACTTTTTTAAGGTATTAGTCAAAAAGAAACGTAATGGAGGCACGAACATTTTATAGCCCTGAGCCGTAAGCCTCAGTCTTGAATTTTTATTAGCCTTTTACTGAAAAGAATGAAAAGTCCCTGACCCCAGTTTGAAATTATCAAGCTAACAACAACAAAAAACCCATAGCAACATATAAGAAACATCTTTTTAAAAGGATGGGGAAGCAAGCCCTTTATATACTTATATAAAAATGTGTCACAATATATGTAAAGTAAAAATAAGAACAAACGTTATGGAGGTGCAAAAAAAGTATTAATTAGGCTAAAATCTGTGTTGAAAAACAGAAAGATAATTTAAAAATGAATTTCCTATATCTCCATAAAATATCTGTGGAAGAATACCTAAGAACCTAACAACGTGGCTTGCCTCTGATGAGACTCAAAGGGTGGGTAAAGGATGGAGAGGGCAGGGTGATTTTTGTTTGTATATTTATAGTAACTTTTGAATTTTGAACCATATGAATACATGTACTACCCTATTTAAAAATAAAACTGTATTTATAAAAATGTTAAACCAGCCCTAGCCAGTTAGGCTCAGCAGTTAGAACATCAGCCCTGAGACCAAAGGGTCACAGGTTTGATTCCCAGTCAAGGGCATGTACCTAGATTGCAGGTTCAATCCCTGCCCCTGTAAGGGTCATGCAGGAGGCAACCTATCAATGTGTCTCTCTCACATCGATGTTTCTCTCTGTTTCTCTATCTCTCTCTCCCCCCAACCTTTCCACTCTATCTAAAAATCAATGAAAATAATATCCTCAGGTGAGGATCAACAAAAAACAACAACAAAAACATATTAAACCAACAGATAAAAATAATCTCTTACCAGATCTTGAACTTCTTAGAGGGGGTCTAAGCAGGCTGAAATAAGGATCTTCACTCAACACTAATATGGGGAAAAAACATTTCACAATATATTAAATAAAATATCCAACATACTAGATTTATTTATTTATTTATTTATTTAATTTATTTATTTTTTTATCCTCACCCTAGGATATTTTTCCATTTTTTGTTCAGGTAGAGTGGGAGGGAGAGAGAGGAACAGAGAGAGAGAGAGAGAGAAACATCGATGTGAAAGGGACACATCGAGTGGCTGCCACCCGCACAACCGACCAGGGCCGGGGACAAACTGCATCCGAGGTACGCGCCCTTAGCGGGAACCGAACCCGGGTCTCTCTGGACCGCAGGCCGACGCTCTAACCGCTGAGCCAAACCGGCCAGGGCCATACTAGATTTATTATACAATCATCTATTCATTCAACAAAGATTTTTCTGAGCTTCCATTATGTTAAGTAGAGGGATACACTGGTGAACTAGAGAGAAGTTTCCTGCCATAAAAAAAAATTATGGACTTGCCCTGGCCAGTCTGTCCCAGCAGTCAGAGTGTCAGCCTGCGGACCAAAGGGCCGCGGGTTTGATTCCAGTCAAGGGCACACACCTTGTTTGCAGGTTTGATCACTAGCCCCAATTAGGGTCGTTCGGGAGGCAGCCAATTGACATTTCTCTCTCTTTCTCATTAATGTCTCTCTCTCTCTCTCTCTCTCCTTCCCGCCATCCCTTCCACTCGATCTAAAAACCAATGGAGCCCTGGCCGGTTTGGCTCAACGGTTAGAGCGTCGGCCTGCGGTCCAGAGAGACACGGGTTCGGTTCCCGCTAAGAGCGTGTACCTTGGTTGCAGTTTGTCCCTGGTCCTTGTTGGTCGTGCAGGCGGCAGCCACTCGATGTGTCCCTTTCGCATCAATGTTTCTCTCTCTCTCCCTCCCACTCTATCTGAACAAAATATGGGGGGAAAAAAATGTCCCTGGGTGAGGATACAAAATAAATAAATAAATAAAAACCAATGAAAAATTATCCTTGGTTGAGGATTAAAAAAAAAATTATGGACTTGATGGAAAAATAAGTACTTTTTTCCAGCAGACCATTATTTGTGTAAAAGGAAAGAAATACAAAATACAATTCTTCTAAATTTCTCAATTAGGAACTAAAATCTGATGCTGTACATCTCAAATTAATATAATACTGAACATCAACTGTAATTAAGAAAATTAAAAAAAAAATTTTTTTTAAAAGAACCAAATTCCATTTGTAGCATACCCTCACTGTGGATTATTTATGGCATACTTTAATTTCAGGGTTAACTTCCTGAGAGTTAATACACTCCCTCCAATAATGCAAATTCTAGTTTTAAAAAAAATTGATGTTATCCAGGGTTTGTTTTAGACTATGGTGTAGGGTTAACAGGGAAGCCAATCTCATTGAATAAAATGTTAATGTTAGCCTAGAAATCCAAGGTGTGTTTTGTCAAAGAGCCTCACATAATAATCTAAACCTGAATATATACCTAAACTTGGATTATGTTTTATTTCATTTGCCTCTATAAAAAAGCATTTGTTTGGCTCTGTCGGAGAACTGTGAAAACCACAATGCTCTGGCTATCACTAGCACCCCTCCATTACACTGAATGCCTATGTTTTTGCAAACCTGATTTAACCCAATTTCCCCTTTACAGAAGCCAGAAAGAAGTCCTGAAAAGATAGTCAGTCATTTGTTCAAATAATAGTTACGAGCCTTGGCAAGGTGGCTCAGATGGTTGGAGCATTGTCCCATATATCAAAAAGCCGTGGGCTCGCCCTGGCCGGTTTGGCTCAGCGGTTAGAGCGTTGGCCTGTGGTCTGGAGAGACCCGGGTTCGGTTCCCGCTGAGGGCACGTACCTTGGTTGCAGTTTGTCCCCGGCCCTGGTTGGGTCGTGTGGGTGGCAACCACTCGATGTGTCCCTTTCATATCGATGTTTCTCTCTCTCTCTCCCCCCCTCCCACTCTATCTGAACAAAATATCGAAAAATGTCCTCGGGTGAGGATTAAAAAAAAAAAAAAAAGCTGTGGGCTCAATCCCTGGTCAGAGCACATACCTAGGTTGCAGGTTCGATCCCCAGTCAGGATGCATAAGGTAGGCAACGATTGATGTCTGTCTGTCTGTCTCCCCGCCCCCCCCCCCCTTCCCACTCTATGTGAAGATAAATGGAAAAATATCCATGGGTGAGGATTAAAAAATAAATAAATAAAATTATTAGTGTTATTTCCAAAACAGAACAGATAGTGAGGGAATGATTTCCATATCATGAAGAGGATCAATCAATGCACAAATGGATGTTGACAAAGGGACACCTGTACTGACAGGAACTTTGGAGATTGAGGGATGACTTCCCTAAATCTTCTAGCTCTGGAGTATAAGAATATCTCATTTGCTAGCATTTCACACATCCGGTATTTTAGAACTTAAATACTTAGCTTTCAAAATAAATCTGTAACTCCCATTATTACAACTACCATCTTCTTTTCTCCTCTGTATTTCCACCCTTTCCAGGTTTAATCAAAAGCTAATACTCAACTTAATCTATAGATATCAATTACTATTTGTCCTTGTCTTTTCATTTAAGAAGCATTTCCTGTCTGTCCCACTAACATATAGCCCTACATAAGACACTTGAAAGAGACAGTACCAGAAAGAGGTATTAGATGACCAGTGATGTAGTTATTTTTACTAGGTTCTTTTACAAAGTGGCCTCTTGGGTTAGGTCTTTAGTCTTAAGGACATTGTTGGATAAACTCTCAGACCACACCAGTGCCCCTATATACAATTACAAAATATACAATATTAAAAATACCAAGTCAAACTGCAAGTCTATCCTCAGACTTGTACTTAAAGCAGTGCTCCATCAAAGAGTGACTTCTATTTAATAATTCCTCTGCTAGACAGACTTTACAAGCATTTATTTAATAAGTCCCTAAACTCTTTCTCCTTTCATTAAGAGGTATGAGATGGGAGTATGCCAAGTGCTACATAAAGAAAGATATAAAAAAGCACCTTTTAGAGTAATAGAACCCTGAGTATCTCAAATCTCCCAAAGATGTGCAAAATCTTATTTCTAATTAGACTTGCATGCACAGTGTAATATCAGTATATTCTAGGTAATCTATGCATGGGTACCATCAATTTGCCATCTATATTGAGAAATGTTTTGTTTTCTCCACTTCCAATTATAACATAAGCTTCTTGAGAAAAAGAAATGCTTAAGCAAAATTTTATGAACACATCTTTTGTAAAGTACCACGAGAAGGAAAAAACCTTGTATCTGTAGGTTGTATTGCGTACAAAGCGATTCTGCATGTACTATATCGCTTCTGCAGTGACTTTCTAAGTTAGGCAGGTAAATCATATAGAGAAAAGCCTGAGGCTCAGGGTGGATAAGCAACACAACCAAGATCCAGTGTCCTTGCCCCATATTATGCAGCCACGTATCTCATTATCAATCCTTAAATACAGGCCTAATGTGAACTCTAAAAGACTGTTCAAGACATTCCATTACATAATTATTTTATAATGGTCTATAGGCTGTCTTCAGTACTCAACAGCCTTCAGTACATCAATTCACTTAACTCTGTAATTTTTATAAATTTACTCTAAATGAGAAGGTTTGCTTCTTCAGGTATAAGGGACATGCAATTAAATGTACTGTATATAAAATGTCAAGAATATGCTTTTTCCACATGGCCTGGAAAGTCTGATTATAGCACCAATTACTCAAAGCATTTTTATAAAATAGTTTATAATCTTAACACAGTAACATAAGTTGTTCAAGGAATTAAGCATAAAGGGAACTGAACTTGAACCAGATATATTTTATTCTAAATTGAGAATAGAACAGTTCAAATTATAAAGCCTAAACTTCTTAGACGCAATAGATAAGGAAGAAAGTCAGAAAATGGGTTTTAAAAAAATCCAGGGATGATCAGTTTCAATGGCTATAGTCATCTGTCGTGGGACTGTCCTGATATCAAAAAGCGCAAAATGAAAATTAATGGAACTAAAACAAAAGATACTAAGCATTAATAACTGAAGTTAATCCTTTCCCCTGCTTTTCAAAAGTTAATAGTTTTTAAAACTTAAGTAGATTATCAAATGTAGCGTATTTCCCTATTACAATGATACTATGATGCAAATATTTTTTTACTTTAACATCTCTGACATTGGGATGCATCACACAATCTATGGCATATTACAGTTTAATACTATCATTTCTTTCTTCTAGGTGGTACATAAAATAATGACATTGTATCTTACAGAAGATGATATCTTAGATTTGATGAAATGTAATATCAAACTGACAAGACCGACCAAATTATGTCATCATTTACCATGCAGATCATTTAATGCATTTTAAATGAAAGGTAGGTAAAGTAGTTTACCCATTTAAACTACTGGGTAGTTAATTATTACATGGGAGAGGGACAGTGAGGTATTTGGGGAAAATGAAAGGGTTTTGTGACTCAATAGTTATGTGATATACAGTTATGTGTCTGAATTAACATATATAAAGTGACTAGTACTTAGTAGGTACTAGAGTATGCACCCTATCTTTTCTTGACACATTGCTTAATTCAATAAACAACCTAATACAAAGATTCACTGAAATTCTGAATGAAGTATGATCTGGGACCCTTGATGAACCAGGCTATAATCTGTACATAAAAAGTTGCCAGGTAAAGAAAAAACAAAATCACTCTTCTTACCTGGTGTCTCTTGTGTTTTCCTGGTAGTTTTCTTTGAGACTGCCTGGCTTAAAACAGTTTGCAGAGATGGTTCTTCCTCTAAAGAACAAATATGACAATTGTCAAAATTCAGAATGTATGATCTGGGTAAAGATTATGCATATTAACAGCAATGTATGAGCAGAAATGCAAGTAATTCATTTCTTTAGAAATGTGAAATTAGGTTTACCAAAACTTACAAATTTAACTAGTCAGAACTAATCTCAAGACAATTAAAAAAAAATAGCCCTGGCCGGTTTGGCTTAGTGGTTACAGCGTCGGCCTGCGGTCCAGGGAGACCTGGGTTCGGGTCCAGCTAAGGGCACCTACCTAGGTTGCAGTTTGTCCCCGGCCCTGGTTGGTCGTGTGGGTGGCAGCCAGTCGTGTTCCTTTCATGTCGCTATTTCTCTCTCTCTCTCTTCCTCCCACTCTATCTGAACAAAAAATGGAAAAATGTCCTCGGGTGAGGATAAAAAAATAAAATCAAATAAATTAAAAAATAAACTACTCGCCTTGGCCGGTTGGGCTCAGTGGTTAGAGCGTCGGCCTGCGGTCCAGAGAGACCTGGGTTCGGTTCCCGCTAAGGGCGCATACCTCGGTTGCAGTTTGTCGCCGGCCCTGGTTGGTTGTGCGGGTGGCAGCCACTCGATGTGTCCCTTTCACATCGATGTTTCTCTCTCTCTCTCCCACTCTATCTGAACAAAAAATGGAAAATGTCCTTGGGTGAGGATAAAATAAAAAAATAAATAAATAAACTACTTCTCCCTGATGCTTTACACAAAGGTATATTACTTTAGAAATTTTAAAAGATGGGCTAGAGCCCTGGCCGGTTTGGCTCAGCGGTTAGAGCGCTGGCCTGCGGTCTGGAGAGACCCAGGTTCGGGTCCAGCTAAGGGCACGCACCTCGGTTGCAGTTTGTCCACGGCCCTGGTTGGGTTGTGCGGGTGGCAACCACTCGATGTGTCCCTTTCACGTCCATGTTTCTCTCTTTCTCTCTCCCTCCCGCTCTATCTGAACAAAATATCGAAAAATGTCCTCGAATGAGGATAAAAAAAAATAAAAAATAAATAAATAAAAGATGGGCTAGAGCAGCAATTTTTAACCTGTGTGCCACAAGAATTTTTAAAACATGCAATACCTAACTATTTTCCGGGGCACTGACCTCTTTTCTCTTAGATTGTCAAATAAAATTTAAAAAGACAACAGCCAACACAATAGCCATCCAGTACAAATGAATCAAAATTATACCCTTTTTTTTTTTTTTATCAGACTGGAAAAAATATATGTTTTGGTGTGTGCAGAATTTTAGTAATTAGGTAATGTGTGTCACGAGATGGAAAGTGTTAAAAATTACTGGGCTAGAGTGTCATAAATGATGTGGAAGAAAGCAGAAAAGTGAGAAATGTTTAGATCCTTACAGAGGTATTGAAATAGAGGTATATCCTTAATGTGTTAAAAAATTAACTTACATAACTGCATTAGGCTCTGTGGAAAAGTCAATACAAGTTAACAGATGTATTGTAAAAAATATGTGCAAAGCATTCTTCTAGGTATTGAAGGAAATACAGAATTAAGGCAAGTGTTGAAGTATAACATGGTCCTTCAAATATATGAAAGGCTCTTTGTCTCCAGGAACATCCAGGGTGGGGCAAAAGTGGGTTCACAGTTGACGGTATGCAAAACAAAGTTCATTCTTGTATTATCCTTTATTAATTATCGTATTATTTTTCCATACAAACAACCGTCTTGAATGACTACACCCTGCAGTAACTTACATATCTTTAACATAAAATTTCCAAAATCAACACTTCTTCCAACGCCTCAGCAGGGAAATGTGCAGCCTATTACTCTGCTCTAAGCTGAAGATCCACAGCCTCTTCATCATATCAATGGTCTAAGTACGTAATCTCATTGTGATTCAAACCGTTTCTTACCTCTTTGGTGTCTTACATGGGCTAACATGAAACATCACTTGTTACATGGGGCCTGGGGGCAAGGTGGGAGAGGATGGATCAAGGGAGTTGATTCATCCGACTCACGTAAAACTAGACGCGCACTTTGTCAGCATCCTTTTGGCCCAGTTAGATGAAAACTGAAAGTCTTGCTTTGTCTGGCGACTACTTAACCATTGAGACTACACTGAGGGCCCCAGAGTGGCGAATTTTTGGCACAGGCCACCACGCTCGAGAAAGAGCAATCAGCTCAAGCCTACCAGACACTGGGGGCTTCACAAGTTCAAGAGAACTGCGTACCCCATTTCGGGTGGGGTCTCAAGCCAGTTCACCAACTAGCTACCCCGAAGAACGCCCACCCACACATTTCTTCCCTCTTTCCCCACGTGGACAGTGATGTAAAAAAGGTTAGAAGGTTCGATTAAAAGCGTAATTCGCAGCTGGGGACTTTCGACCTCCGAGAATAAAAGGAGGAAATGGAAGTAGCTTTAGCAGAAACAGCCGCAGGACAGAGGAAACCGAAATGAAACCGAGCCTGGAGGGATCCGATGTCCCGCCGGCCGCCGACCTCGCCGCCCCTCGCGAAGGCCCGCAGGGGGAGGCAACGCGGAGCCCCCTACCCTGCCGCCCCGGGACGCGCGGAGCTCCCGGCCCCGCTCCCTGCGCCGCACGACGGCCTCTCCTGGGTTCCCGCCCGTGCGTCTTTCCCTCCCGCGGTCGGGGTGGACCCGGCGAGGGCACGCACGCCCTTGGAGCGGAGGAGCCACCTGAGCCCTGGCGGGGACGAGCTCGGCAGGGATGCTCGGCAGGGATGCCCGGCAGGGATGCCCGTCCGCCCGCTGCCCTCGCTCCCGTCCACCTCACCTTCAGAGGAATGAGAGTCCCGTAACCCTCTCCGGGTCATAACCGGTGATGGCTGTGGCGGAGGCTGCTGTAAGTGCTGCTGCTGCTGGAGGAGGGCGGTAGCCCTTCGCGTCTTCATCTCTCCGGTTTCCTGGACTCGCGGCTGCCTCCGCTGCCGGGACCGAAGGTAGTAGGCGCTTTCTCTCACTTCTTCTTTTGAGGGAGAGGGCCGGAACTCTTCTAACTGGATTCGTGTTCCCATCGGGGACTTTTCTTTGGCCACGCGGGGCTCGAAGTCGCCGTACACTTCCGGTGGCTCTTCCGAAAACCTCACTTCCCGCCGTCCAGGGCGCGACGGTGGAGTTCCGTACGCAGGCGCGTCACCGCCGCCGCCATTTTGAGGGGCGAGCCGGCGCCGACCCTCCCGCAGGGGGGGCCTGGGTGTCACGTGCAGCTCCCATCCGTCTATCACCTGCTCCGCCCTCCGCCCCTCGCCCGCCATAGTTGTTGTTGTAGCCTGTCTATCGCCGAGATGATTTGGGGGGCCCTAGATTCACCTGCCGTTGGTGGCGATGGCTTTTCGGGGTGCTGGGCGGTGGTCGCGGTGGTCAGGGAGGCAGCTGAGAGTCGCCGAGGCTGCCGCCTGCGTCGTCGCTGCTGTGCTGCAAACCTGCCTCTGGGCCCATGGTGTGTCCGAGGGCAGTGCAAGAGGCAGTGCCGGTGCTGGGTCAGCTGCTGTGGGTCACTCCCGCCTCCTGGCTGGAGGCACCAAAGAGGAGGAGAAGAGGGAGGACGTCGGTGTCCTTGGCCTTGGGGGACAGAGAGGGCGGGGACGACGGAGAAGGGACAACTGGCTGGGCAAATGGCGTGCCCTAAACCCAGCTGTTTGTGGCAACTGCTGTCCGCACGCGGAGACGCCCGTGCGGGCTGCCAGTGCCCAGCGCTGGAGAGGCGGGGATGGAGACGTTTCGGTCCTCGTCCCCGGGCTGTTGCGCAGTTTCCCCGAAACCTGTAGGACCCACTGCCGCCTGGGCCGCACCTGGAAATGCCCCTAGCAGGAGGGATGATAAAGACACTTTTGCAAGTGTCATCTTTTGTTGGAGAAAATTTTGGTGTCGAGCTCTGTATGAGAGCAGTTACCCAGTTTTAAGGCACCTGTTGAGAGCGCACAAAGGAGAAACCGCAGGCGTACGTGGGTGGATTTCCACTGGCAAAATATGCGCAGCAAACGCCGTCGTTCCTGGGTTCGGTGTAAAAGCTCTATTCCAGCGGCACTGTTCGGAACCCTCGTGCTGCGTTACGGACAAAGAAATGAACAAATACATAGACTAAAGACAGCTATCATTTAACTTGTGACCCGTTATTTTTACTTTGATTCTGGGCATGACTTGATACACTGCATTTGATTTAGGGTTTTCTGTGTTTAGTTTACTGAGTAAGAAAGCTTGAATACAAAGCACCCTTTGTTTCGTATCAGTATACCTTACTGATGGATGTGGATAATCAGCAAATATCTAACCAAATTTACACACACTGAGGGAAAGGGAGTTAAGTTCGTGTAATGTCTGAAAAATTGAAAGTTTGTTACCTTCAAAATACGCACTTAGCCTTCTTGGAGGATTTTTCTATTCAATTTTTTTTTTTATCATTTCAGTGGGTGGATTTTAAAAATTGTAATTAGGATATGAATTACAATGAATGATTCTGAAAACTCTGAGAGTATTGTTTCTTCTTTCAAGTATTTTAAATCACCTTACAATACTTTTAAGCAAGTCACGTTCAAACCGAGCAAAAATTTCAATTTAATGAAATTTTAACATGTACTATGTTTTCATTAATAGGCCATGTATTTGGCTACAGACACAAGGAATTAAATGCTTTAGAGAGTCACCTAGGTTTTAGCCTGTTAGTTCATCTTAGCTTTATTATATCTGATATAGCCAAAGAAACTGGAGGAACAGTCACAAGGGAGATGCTACTTAAAAAAAAAAAACAAAAAAAAAAACTTTAAAGGGGAAAGTAAAAGCATATTTCCCCCTGTCAGCTTGGGTTAGATAGTATGTTCGGAAAATTTTGGGACTTCTTTTCCAACAAAATGCTGAAAAGTGTTCGTACTTTTTGATAACTGGCTTTAGTTTTAAGTAATGCTTTATGTATAAGGGGCCTATTACATTACTCATTAAGCTATAATAGTAAAAGTTCTTTAATATAGCTATTAAATGATATAAAACTTTATAGTATTAATGTACAACGTTCATATTATGAACAGTAATGTATATATTAAAAGTCTCTTTAAGATATTTACCAGGGCAGGTGACTATAACTTGGATACAGACTTGTAAAACTTAGGTTTGGGGAACATATTAAAAAAGAGAGGACAAGAGGTTCTACATGATATTGACTAATCAGTCAGTGTGTTATTTTGTAATTTAAAATGCTTGTAAAGGCATAGGAATGGCTTCCCAAAGAAACAAATCACGAGAATCTTAAAGTAAAATCAGAGGCATGGTAACTTGAACGTTAACACACATTTGTTTAGGATTTTCCCTATTTAATCTAAGAAATAAGAATACATAATCCTAGCTCTGCGGCACCTGTCTCCCACACCTGGCAACCTTACAAATAGTGCCAACTTTCCTCATAACTGTGAGGTAAAGCCAGACTCTAGGCAAACCAGATATTCTGCTGTAGATATTTTCCAAACAGCAGGGGTGTCCAAAACAGGTGACATTACAGAGACCGTAGACAGCCAATATTATAAGGGAATTGCTGGGCCACCAAATACCAAGAGGGGGCATGAGCTCTGGATGTTAGACAATTACTTTGGGAATTTGAAATATGTAGAGTAATTCCGTGAATCAAAAGAGAAGACAGGTAAGAGAAGAAATTATTATAACAATATACAGAAGTGGGCAAAAGTAGGGTTACAATTGTATGGGAAAAGACATTCAGGTTATGATTATTGCAGTAGTTTTATTAACTCAAAGGAATGTCCCAACGGCACAGTGCACTTGGGTACAATCTTGTAAGTGCTCAAATTGCTGGCCTTCATTATTTGCACATTCTTGTAGTCTTTGAAAATCAGTAAACAAACCTGAATTTCAGTGACCTGCTTGGGTTAGCCCCACTGCCTTCTGAGGTGGTTGAATTCAAAGCTACTTTTGCCCACCTCTGTACTAATTAATTCATATATTTATTGAATGTCTATGTTGGCACATAATAGATGTTTAATAAATATATGGATTAAATTATTGAGTTTATTCTTTATCCCTAGGGAATTTGCCATGTATTAGGGAAGGCATATACAAAAATTACAATTCAGATTAAATTACTGGCATTCATATATATATATATATATACACACACACACACACACACACACACACACACAGCTGTTAGTCCTGGTCTAGAAATCTAGTGTTATTGATACTGGATTTCTAAATAAAGCAGCTATTTTGAATGAAACATTTTATTTTAAAATAAGAGTTTTTATATATGATTTTATTTAGGGTAAGCAGAAATCCAGTTATATACTGAGGAAAAAAATCTTATCAATCCATTGTGCATGATATTCACATTTGTGCTCAGCTAAGCATATAACTTTGGAGTTATAGCTTAGTAGAAAGAGGCAACATTGATATTTTTAATAAGGAAGTGATTAAAATGTTAAATAAGAGGAAGGAAATTAAAGACATAGCTGGTTCCATTTATTCCCCATTCTCACAAATGATAGACAAAACATTTTAAAGACTGTTAATACAGCCCTGGCCAGTTTGCCTCAGCAGTTAGAGCATCGGCCTGCGGTCCAGAGAGACCCGGGTTCGGTTCCCGCTAAGGGCACGTACCTTGGTTGCAGTTTGTCCCCGGCCCTGGTTGGGTCATGACGGTGGCAACCACTCGATGTATCCCTTTCACATCCTTTTCACATCGATGTTTCTTTCTCCCTCCTACTCTATCTGAACAAAAAATGGAAAAATGTCCTCGGGTGAGGATTAAAAAAAAAAAAAAGAATACAAATGAACATGTCTAGCTGGAAATGTTATACTGAAATTAAGAAAAGTTAAACCCAGTTAAATGAGTGGAATATAATATTCTTCCATTTATTCTTTGTTGAGTTAGAGATTGCAGTCAATTATTAAACAGCACCAGAGTGTTTTGAAATCCTGTGACTTCTGCCAAAAGAGGATGATTGACATGTGAAGGTACCAAAAAGCACTGTTCCCTGGAGAATCATTAATCCAATAAATATTTGAGTCTCTGTACTCGCCGGACCCTGTTCTAGGTGGTGGGGATACAGCAGTGAAAGAACAGAACCAAAAGACAACCCTCCTAGCCTGCTTGGAATTTATATTCCTTGTAAGTCAGATAAAAATCAAAATAAGTAAAATAGTGTTTTAGGGAAAAATGAGGCACAGGGAAGTGAGATTTACATGAATAGATTTCTTCTATGTTGTCTTGAATTGGTATAAGTCAGGAACAGGAATTTTAGATTTACAGTTAGCCCTTGAACAAGGCAGGGGTCAGGACTCCTGACCCCAGCCCAGTGGAAAAACTTAACTACAGTTTTCCTTCCATATGTAATGAGGATTGGTTGCAGAACCACTGCCCATACCAAAATCCACGCATGGGCAAATTCGTTACATAAAATGGCATAGAACAATGCATACAGTCAGTCCTCTGCATGCGGAGATTCCAATGGCTGATGTAAAGTCCTGTTACCCATTTGCTGTTGATTGAATCTTCCGGGGCCAAACTCCTGTAGGGAGGGCAGACTGTATATTTATTGAAGAAGAAAAAAAAAATCAGTTATCAGTGGACCCGCACACTTCAACGTTGTGTTTTCCAGTCAACTGTACTTGACTTTGCCCCTAACCAACTGTGTCCTTGGGTAAATCGCTTTCCGTTTCTCGATTTTCACATTTATAAAATCAATAGATCAAAATAGTAGCTGTTTTTATTCATCATTTGCTACTGTCGTTTAGCAGACACCGTTACTACATACATTATTACCTCTTTTACTCGCAGCAGCCCCACTGGACATGAGCTAACTGAGTTTGAGGACCTGCACCTCGCACCTCGCACCTCGCAAAGGCAGAGGCGGGTCCAAGTCCTGCCCGCCAGGGCTGGCCCTTATCATGGGGCTCGTGCCTCTCACCGTGTCGCTCCACGGGTTCTTCCAGCCTGTGAATTTGGGGTCTTGTAAGGCTTAGGGGCTCCTTGCAGAGTTGCCCGCCTTCCTGACCTGTAGCAGCAGAACACCGGGACGTCAGGACATCGGCGCTTCTGTTGCGCGCACTCGCCGCTGCTGGGCGCTGGCGGCTCGTGGGCCGTAGGTGCGGGGGGCGGTGCAGGCGGGGGGAGGGGCAGGCGCCTACCAGTCCCAGCATTCCGCGGGCGCTCCCCTCCCCGCGGAGGTCACCGTCACGTGGACAGGGACCGGGCGACATTCTCTTCGGCCCGTCCGAGGGGTGCAGCCGGGTTTCGTGGACCAGAGCAGCGGAAGGGCTCCCCGACAGTGAGTGTAGACGATTTAAAACTCCGCTGGAATTTGTAAGTACTTAAAATGTGTGTACAACTTTTCCATGGTTTAATATTTGATCGGATGTCTTTTTGAAAGATCTTTCGGAAACGATCCCTCCCCACCCCCACCTACCTATTGCAAAAACCTTAAAACGAAGCAGGTAGAGGGTATTTTTGTTCTAGAGTAAAAAATGAGAAACAATCTTACAAATATTAAAGAGGATAAGGCGGGGGTGGGGTGGGGATAAATTTGCTTTGGACTTGGAGACGAGCAGAATTCCTATAAGGCTCAAAGTGTAAACGGGAATCTACCTGGGCAGGGACGATTGCTCCCTTTCCTTCCGTGTCTAACAGGATCCCGACATTT